ATTCTCTAACATATTAATATACTGCATATGATACATCCAGTACTATAGGCATTCCATAGTAAATACACTCGTTTCCTTAGAGTCCTTTTCCCCAAATCCTTCTAGCCTGTTCTCACCAGTAATTTCTCCAACTCCTTCCTTCCTCTACAGTTGCTTTGTGTATTCTTTGTCTTCCCTATCTTGGACTATTCCTATTCTCAAAGAGCATAATAGTAATATGATACCATGGACAGGTACCACAAGTGTTGAAGGTGAAATCCAGTCCATGCCTGAAAAGTGAGAGAAATCAGTCTCTGTATGGGTGACAAAGAGGATTACAGAGGTGAAGATCTTCCTGCAAGGGCTTGTCTCCACTATGCTGGGGATCAATGCTGCAGCGATCGATCCACTAGCTGTTGATTCATCACATCTGCTAAGACGTGATAAATCAGTCTCCAAGTGCTCTCCTGGCAATGCAGGTATTCCACTAGGACGAGCAGAATAGCCAGCATCAATGGAAGAGCAGCCGCTGCCGACCTTACTGCACCCAAGACACGGTGGTAATTATGTTGACTTAGCTATGCTACTTGTGTTTTGGCTGGGGTTAGTATAGAGAAGACCCATGTCATGGATTAGGGTCCCCTGGCTACTTTTTTAGCCCAGAGATGGAATATCAGCTATAGTCCCTTCACCCTGACTACATGAGATGTTGGAGCTAGTGCAGGGGTGGGCAAATCATTCCGGCAAAGAGCCAAGATATCAGTGGATCCAGTGCAAAGAGCTGGGGCAAAGATGTCAAGCAAAAAGACTGTCCTTTAAAAAACAAACAAAAAAACCCCACTACACAACCCACTGCACTTAGAGGCTTTTTGGCCACATCAGGCTCCCTCCCGGCTGGCGCCATCTTTAAAGGCTGCGCTGGATAGTTTCCCCTGAACCAGTGAGCACAGGGAGCCGGGAGGAGAAAGCCATTTTCAGGTGCACAGGGCAGCTTTACGAGCTACACCCGGGGGGGAAGAGCCTCATGCAGCTCGTGAGCCGCAGGTTGGCCATGGCTGGGCTGGTGGGTCCATGTTTACATGGAGACAGTCATCCCTTGCCTGGACTGCCCTAGTCTGCCCTCTTGTGATTCTTTCATGCCGGGGTGGCTTGAGATTCCTTCTGCCTCATGAGAAGCAGACACGCACAAACACACAAACACTGCCCTTGTGCTTCCTTCACAGCTACTCTGTTTTCAAATGGCATGGAGGACATTGCATTGGGTCCATTTATAATGCTATGGGAATCTTTCTTTTAAAAAAAACTTAAAATAATAATTTAGACAATCACGGGAAACCTCTACTATCTAGGTTACAATTAAGTTAGCAAGGTCACAATTAGCAGTTAGTGAGCAGTAGAGTCTTACATTATTTGTATATCAATATAATTGATTGAAATGTACAAGCTATGAGGAAAATGGGAAGTGAAAAAACATTGACTGGGTGAAACTTTATTTGAAATTGTGAATATACCAATGCAAGTCATGTACAGCATCACTCAGACAAAGTGTCCAGAGATTGGATTTTTATAAAAGGAAATGTTACAGCTAGCAAGGCCAGAGGGGGAGAGGGATGAAAGATGTTAGGCGTGTAAAACCCCGGGCTTTCATCTCTGGAATTTAAGTTAACCCTTAGGAATTTATCATAGCACTGCTCTCTTTGAAAATAGATCTGGATTGCTCTGAGGAGTCTATGAAAAAGTTCCCAGAAGACACAGACTTTCCTTTTCTGCACAGCAGTATTATTCAGTCACCAAAACAGCACTAAATGGATTTTGTCTTCTCACAAGATCAGTTTTGTCAAAAGGAAAACAGGATCATAATCAAAAGACAAATAAATGGGGAGACATATTCATCCTAATAAGGAGGAATTTATTTAGTGGCTTACAATTTGTGAATGGCCATTTGCCAAATATTTCTAGTTTTGTGGCAGATTCTGCTTTTAGGCCAGGTCTATATTTACTGCAGCAGAGATCGATCTTCCGACATTTGATTTAGCAGGTCTAGTAAGGACCTGCTAAACTGAATACTGAACGGGCTCCTGGTCGATGCCGGTACTCCTCGATTTGCAAGAAATAAGGGAAGTCAACAGGAGCATTTGCTCCCTTTGATGTCCCACTGTGGAGGTGGCATCAAGCTTGGCTTAAGGTACATCTATTCCAGCTATGTTATTTACATATACACAGCTTCCGCAACAACGCACAGACTGACATTATTCGCAAACGACAACAAGCGACACACAATCTTAGCCGCGCTGAACACCATGCCATCCAGAGTCTCAAAAACAACCTGGACATTGTAATCAAACCAGCTGACAAAGGGGGTGCTGTGGTCATTATGAATAAGGCCGACTATAACCAGGAGGCAACCAGACAACTCTCGAACACCACATTTTACAAACCTCTCCCCTCTGATCCCACCTTGGACTACCAAAAGAAACTACACTGTCTCCTTAAAAGCCTCCCCACAGCTACTCGGGAACAAATCCTCACAGAATCACCTTCTGACCCCCGACCAGGATTGTTCTATCTACTTCCCAAGATCCATAAACCTGGGCACCCCGGACGTCCCATCATCTCTGGTATTGGCACGCTCACTACGGGTCTATCCAGCTATGTAGACACTCTTCTCAAACCCTTCGTAACCAATACCCCCAGCTATCTCCGAGACACTACTGACTTCCTAAGGAAACTACAAAACATCGATAACCTCCCCAATAATACCATCCTTGCCACCATGGATGTAGAAGCTCTATATACCAACATCCCACATGAAGACGGATTACAAGCAATTAGAAACACTATCCCAGAGGACACTACTGCCAACCTGATAGCAGACCTATGTAACTTTGTTCTCACCCACAATTATTTCCGGTTTGAGAACAACTTATACCTCCAGATCAGCGGCACAGCCATGGGTACACGCATGGCCCCACAGTATGCTAACATCTTTATGGCTGACCTAGAACAACGTTTCCTCAACTCCCGTCCCCTTTCACCCCTCCTCTACCTACGGTACATCGATGACATCTTTATGATCTGGACACATGGCCAAGAAACACTGGAGATATTCCACAGAGATTTCAACAACCTACACCCCACCATCAACCTCAGCCTGGACCATTCTACACGAGAGATCCACTTCCTGGACACCACCGTACAAATCAACAATGGAAAATTAGACACCACTCTCTACAGAAAACCCACTGACTCATACAGTTACCTACATGCATCCAGCTCCCATCCAGAACACACCACACGATCCATCGTCTATAGCCAAGCCCTTCGATACAACCGCATCTGCTCTAACCCCACTGACAGAGACCAGAAGCTTCAGGATCTCTACCAAGCATTTATAAATCTCAACTACCCACCCAGAGAAACAAAAAAGCAAATTGAAAGAGCCAGACGAATACCTAGAAACCATCTACTTCAAGACAGACCCAAGAAAACCAACAATAGAACACCACTTGTCATCACCTACAACCCCCAACTTAAACCTGTCCAACACATTATCAATAAACTACAGCCTATATTGGAACAGGATACCATACTCAAAGAGGCTCTGGGAGACAGACCCATAGTCTCCTATAGACAACCACCTAACCTCAAGATGATTCTTACCAACCACCACAGGACATACCACACTAATACCAACCCTGGTACCTTCCCTTGCAACAAACCCCGTTGCCAGCTTTGTCCACATATTCATTCTGCTGATACCATTATTGGACCTAACCAAGTGAGTTATAAGATCAAGAACACATATTCCTGCGCATCCAGAAATATAATCTACGCTATCATGTGCCGAAAGTGTCCGTCTGCTATGTACATTGGACAAACATCTCAGACACTTCGCCAAAGGATTAATGCCCACAAAACAGATATCAGACAAGATCACAAAGAGAAAACAGTTTCTTGCCACTTTAACCAGAAAGGACACTCTCTAAATGACTTAGCCACCTGCATTCTGCTACAAAGACCTTTTACATCTGCACTTGAAAGGGAATCCTCTGAACTGTCATTCATGTTAAAATTCGACACTTACCAACAAGGACTTAACAAGTCTTTGAACTTTCTCACCCATTACCAAGACAGTTTCCCCAATTATCACCTGTAATACCATTAACTCACAAACATCCCACTCTCCCTACCTTTAATATCAGCAATTCACAGACACTTACCTTCCTTCCTCCCCCTTCCCACCCCCCCGCATCCCCCTTCTGTTCTGCAATGTGATTTGTCCTTTTCATATTTGTTCATTTTTTTAAATTGTATCCTTTGGTATATATGGTTGTGACTACTTTCTTCCACTATTTGATCTGAGGAAGTGGGTCTGGCCCACGAAAGCTCATCATCTAATAAACCATCTTGTTAGTCTTTAAAGTGCTACATTGTCCTGCATTTTGCTTCAACTACCCCAGACTAACACGGCTACATTTCTATCACGTACCTTAAGCTGACCTTCTGAGTGTAGTATAGACCTGGCCTTAGTCACACTGGGTAAATCCAGAGCAACTCCCCTGAAAATCAGTTTCTTTAGATAAGAACTTGGAATTCTGAGTCTGAGTGTGTATTCTGTGTTGTTCCTTTTTTGGAATAATGTTTGAATAATTTCTTACACCCAGGACAAAGTCTCAGCCCAGGTAGTTGGGGGAAAGGCAACTTTAACTTTGCGAGTCCCTAATTCTGTTCTATTAACTGGAACAGATGCAGTCCCTAGCTTTAGTTGGGGGCGAAGCCATCTCAGGGCCTTGAACAATGGTCTACAAGCTGATCCATATCCCAAAATAGCCCTATTGCAATCCACCTCTGTAATCCAACACACTCTGATCCGGCAACATCCATGGTCTAGCATGATTTTAGTTAAGCTAGATGTCCTTTTATGGGTATGGCCAAGTTTCCCACAGCCTCTTACATTTTATTTACAACCACCAGTCCTGACTCTGTGTTCTGTGCTGTTATTCAGCTCTAATTACCTCAAATGTCTTCTAAGAGCCCAGTAAGCAGTTGAAGTGTTGGTAATGATGCTTAACAGATGACCTCCCATGATATGGCAAATTCTCTGGTTCAGCACCAGTCAGGTCCCATGGGTGCTGGACTAGAGAGGGTTCAACCTGCACCTGACTCTTTTCCTGCCAGATGGGAGATCAAACTGGTGTAACCATTCCTAACCCATTTTTCCAAAGTCAGAAGTAGCCAGTGCATGATGTAGTTGGTGTTGCTTACTAAGAGTTTGCTCACAAAAAAGATATGTAAATACTTGTTCTTTACCAAACAATTCACTCTGGTGTTCAGATGGGATAAAAAGAACCATCTTTTCCCTTTTCCTCCTCTTTTTTTTTAAATTTTGGTTCTTGTGAGATTTCTGAGAAAGAGAAGGAATTGTTTACATGTACTCTCAACCTAAATTACCTCTTCTGACATCTGGAATTCAAGAACAAGTAGCAAATGCTCAGATACTCCAACTGATGGTTTACTGACAACTAACAATATCTCTGATAAGGGAACTGGATAAACAAAAAGGCAGTTCTCATACCTATCTGGTACAGAGTCAAAGCATTCTTTATCCAACAGTGAAATGAAAGCCAGGAGTCCATCAGCTTAAGCACAATAAAGAGTGGTCAGGATAGTTTATTTCAGATACACTGTGAAGGTCAGAATTTAACTCATTTCTAGTAATCTACTAATAAACAAAGCCCAGTGTGATCATTAAGTTAACTTATGTAACCATTGATTTGTGTGCCTCACTTAGTATTTTAAAAATAAGGAATAAAACCAAACTGAATTCTTTACAAATCCAAGCCTCCAGGCTGGTTAGAGATAGTTTAAATCAATGGAAGACTGTGAATGACGCAGGAAATAAAATTAAATACTTTATTTAATATAAATGAGTTCATTAAGAAAACAGGGATTACAATATAACCATACATTGCATTTATACCCTGACCCTCCTAACGTAACCTCAGGATTGCCCCTGAAACTCCTTTTTGGGTCAGGACCCCCCAATTTGAGAAATACTGTTGTCCCAGATGAAGTCTATATAGATTAGGGTAAAAACAAACATACAAGAGGACAGATTTCACGGGAGACACCAGATTTCATAGTCCATGATATGTTTTGCATGGCTGTGAATTTGGTAAGGCCTTAATCATCACTATAGGCTACCATTAGGACAACATTTGAGGGGAACTTCTTAAAAGTGCACAAACAAAATGCAAGTATACACTCATTGACAAACAGATGCCAGTTTATTAATGTCCAAATATTTATGATATTGAAACACTTTATGACATTTTCAACTACATTTTTAATGGGGTAGTTTTATAACCTACATTCCTTAGCCAGCAGACATACATATCCCAGAGGTTTTCTTTTCAAAATACCACCACCTCAAAATGTCTGTCCTCATCAGCTTGCGACCCAATAATCATTACATAGCATGTGCAAAGAAGTGATACAGTTGCACTATTTAGTTCTTAGGAGTCAAGAACACCAATGTTAAGCTTTCACGAACAACCTGAACTCTATCCTTTGTGCATGTGCATTATGATACGGGCTATAGTGATGTGACCACATCTTATTTCTCCAGTGACAACCTACAATTATCCTACAATTTTCTCCCACTATAGAGACACATGGATAGTGTGCATCTTTTAGGATTTTTGTGTGTGCGCGCAAGAGTCTACTAGCACTATTTACAATACATTGAAAATGTACCTACTACAGAATGAACAGTAAAAAATGAATTTGTAGGTGTTATATTTTCCATACCTCTAGTGATGGTTTACTTGCAGTCTCAATGACGTTTTTAATAGATTAAGGGAAACAAAACAAGTGAGAACAAAATTAATGTTTCTCTGAGAGCACAGCAAGAGTCTAGCTGTAACATTCTGCTTCATGTAATTGCAGCTGCCCTGCAGACAGGCATTCTCCTTAAATGTAGAAAAGTGCACTGCAGAGAAAATAAAACCATAACAATTACATATACACACACACACACAGACAGACACAGACACAGACACACACACAAGCCCTTGTTATATACATTATAGGCAGAACAGTTAGTACCACCTATAATTAAGGTTGCCTGACATTTTTCCATTAGCAGTCTCAGAGATCAGTTGCTCATGACTTCACCAAACTGAGCATTTAGTCTGATGATTTTTTTGTGCGTGTAAAGTAATGCACATCGGGAAAAATAACCCCAACTATACGTACAGTATGATGGGGGCTAATTTGGCTATGACAAATCAGGAAAGAGATCTTGGCGTTATCGTGGACAGTTCTCTGAAAACTTCCACACAGTGTGCAGTGGTGGTCAAAAAGGCAAATAGGATGTTAGGAATTATTAGGAAAGGGATAGAAAATAAGACCCAGAATATCTTACTGCCCCTGTATAAAACTATGGTACGCCCACATCTTGAATACTGTGTACAGATGTGGTCTCCTCACCTCAAAAAAGATATTTTGGCCTTGGAAAGGGTTCAGAAAAGGGCAACTAAAATGATGAGGGGTTCGGAACTGGTCCCATATGAGGAGAGGTTAAAGCGACTGGGACTTTTCAGTTTAGAAAAGAGGAGACTGAGGGGGGATATGATAGAGGTCTATAAAATCATGAGTGGTGTGGAGAGGGCTGATAAAGAAAAGTTATTTATTAGTTCCCTAAATAGAAGAACTAGAGGACACCAAATGAAATTAATGGGTAGCAGGTTTAAAACTAATAAAAGAAAGTTCTTCACACAGCGTGTTGTCAACCTGTAGAACTCCTTGCCAGAAGAGGCTGTGAAGGCTAGGCCTATAATAGAGTTTAAAGAGAAGCTAGATAATTTCATGGAGGTTAGGTCCATAAAAGGCTATTAGCCAGGGGATAAAATGGTGTCCTTGGCCTCTGTTTTTCAGAGGCTGGAGAGAGATGGCAGGAGACAAATCGCTTGATCATTGTCTTCGGTCCACCCTCTCTGGGGCACCTGGTGCTGGCCACTGTTGGTAGACAGGATACTGGGCTAGAAGGACCTTTGGTCTGACCCAGTATGGCCGTTCTTATGTGTCTGGGGATTTTATTTGTTTGTTTTTGTTTAAGTTTTAGTAAAAATGGTCAAGCTGTTTCTTAGAATAAGGTTGGGGGAAATATGTTGTTTTACATGTTAAAAAATTCTTTACAGACCTTTTGTTGAGAAGCTTTGTGCTTGTGCTCAGGAATTTGAATTGGGGAAAGATGTTGCTTTTATTTCACAGGTGTGCCTTTTCCTATCCCAGTGAAAGATGCCCACATTTGGCCAAGTTATAAGTCTTTGAAAAAAATATCAGCTTGCACATATTCAGAGGAGTCTAGTTAGAATTCTGCAATTAAGTTCTGCAAAGATTCCATCTATTCTGTACATACTCCAGTCCAAAGCTAGAAAAACTGAACAGGATTTGCCTTCTATTTCTCCTCCAGGTCAGCCAGAGGCCTCTGTGACATAGAACAAGGAAATGCATTCCTCAGTGGTCTCAGTACTCCCATTGCTGGAACCCAGGCAGCCAGGATGGGAAGAGGAGCATTCTAGCTTGAATGCAGAGGGCTAAGGAGCCAGGCCTAAGGCAGTGGCAAGGGGAAGACTATGACCATGTCTATACTTAGCCATGCCAGAAATGGATCTTCTGGTGTTCGATTTAGCGGATCTAAATCGAACACTCAGGGCAGCTCCAGCTAGCACCAGTAGTCCTGGAGTTGCGTACCTTAACTCAGCCTTTCAGGTCTAGTGTAGATCTTGACTGAAACATAGACAAGGAGAAGAAGAACAGGACTAGGACTAGTCGGAAGGGAGTCACACTGGAGCAATGGCAGAACAGGAGAACAAAGGCAGAGAGATTTTCAACTATTTGAGAATACGCCTCTCACAACCTCAAACAGAATACTGGATTCTCAAGTTTCAACATTTCCTTGTTCTCAGCAAATAGCTATGAAACCCACTGGCAAAAACATTCCTTATCTCCCTCTACTGACAGGCTCACATAGTACCTGCTCTTCTGTTAGCTTAAGTGAGAGATCTGTTTGGAGATGTGAAAGCTCCATTCCCACTGATGAACAACGTGGACATTAATATGGTTCCACTTGATGGAATTTTTGTTTTTCCAGCTTTTTATTGAAAGCAAACTGAAAGTTCCATACATATGAACGTTAGAAGAATGCTGAAGTTGCATTCCAGCACCCAAAAGATAATTCAGCCTGCTTTTGTGTACGTGTTACGGAAAGTCTTTAATTACTTGACCATATATTCTTTTTACTGTAGGACCCTATCTATCTCACTGAGTGCATAGGAGGAAGAGCTCTTAACTATGCTCAGCATAGTCCTTAACTTAAAACTTGAGCCTTGGAGCTATAGCAGAATTAAGCCATGTTGCGCTGAAGTTGCCCAGATTTGCAATTTATGGAAGTAATAATAAAAGTGACAGGAAGTTTGACTCAGGCACTTGAGTATTAGCATTTTTCCAGCTGTTTATGACTAGACAAATATTAAACTATCTTGTAAACTCATTCCCTTATGGCTCAGCTGTCCATGCTGGTGTGTATGTCTCTGACACTGCATACAGGGCTGTGACTAGACTGTGATTTGCACGGAAAAGAAGGGGAGTAAACCACTATGCCTTTTTCAGTACTTTGCCCAGTGGGATTGCAGAGTCCGCAGTCTAGAAGACCCCAATGGCGATTAAATCTCCACACTCCAGCATCATGCTCTTTACTTATATAAGTACTCTTTACAGAATAAGTACATAGTATAAAAACAAGGGAAGACTGGAGGACTGCGGCTAGCCCTCCCCACTCTGAGTCCCTGTACCAGTTCTAGCAGGCCCCTGCCCCCGAAGGTGAGCATCCAGTTCTCCCGCCCAGATGCTGCAATGCTTCTTGCAGCCAGCCCCATCCCCTGGCCAGACCACCCGCCCTGGGCTGCACTCAGCGAGCAGTGTGAGTGTGGGCCAGAGGACTCCAGGGGAGCAGGGTGCACCCGCGTAGCCAGCAGCTAGAGAAAAGCAGTATTTTCTAGCTGCTGGCTGCATAGCTGCCCCCGATCCTTTGGAGTCCTCCAGTTCTCGCTCATTGCCTCCTAGTGAGCAGGGACTGGACACAGTCAATGGAGGGGAGTCAATGTTATTGTTTTTGTATTTCAGTATTTCAGTTACACTGTATTAAATAGCCTTTTGTGGGCTATCCAGGGAACCTAGCTGCTATTTATAACATTGTTTCTATGGAAAAAGGTGTTCAGAGTTCCAAATAAATGACTTATAAACAAACTTTTGGAACATAACCCATTTAAAAGCTGGAAACTTCCTGTACTCTGTTACCTCTCCTCTGGAACCTTGTGATGTCCTTACTCAAAGACTGTCCAAATGGAACCTCTTTTCAAGAAGATTTTTTTGTCTTATGCCTCTCTGAATTTTTCAAATATTTCTTACAGCAATCAAAGCAACAACTTGCTATACTTAATTCAAAAGGACTAAAATCAGCACAGAAAACATCAAACAGTTTCATGTCCAGTGAACACCCCATTGTAACTAATGGCAGCGGGACACAGACTCCGTTACTGTGACTTTGAAGACTTTTGAAGACTTTACCCTAACTCACTTTTGCAAATGGAATTTTAAGAGAAAAATTTTCAAAGACCCTTGAATGATTTCTGAATCTAAATCACTGAGGCACTAATGAAATGTCTACAGTTGAGAGCCAGCAATCTGTAGCTAGCAACCAAGCAAACCTAAGTTAGGCAAGGAAAGGTATCATTTCCCTAGGCTGAGTTTACTCTGGCTTGGAAATGGGATAAGCACACAGCTGGTGCAAACTACGTTTTTCCTTGTCAACACCTGGGGCATGCACTACTGCAGCTATACCAGTTACTGGCCACAGACTGTGGTAGTTGAACTAACACCAAGTATAGAAAAGGCCTTAGATAGCCTCTGCCATATTGGAAATAGTGATATGCTTAAGAGGTGATGTTTCCTGTATGAATTTTCCCACAGATTTGATTGTGTTGCAATGGGAGAGATCTAGGCTGGATACTAGGAAAAACTATTTAGCTAGTAGGATGGTGAAGCAATGAAATGGACTATCAAGGGAGGTGGCGGAATCTCTATCCCTAAAGGTTTTTAAGTCTCGGCTTGACAAAGCCCTGGCTGGGATGATTTAGTTGAGGTTGGTCCTGCTTTGGGAAGGGGGGGTGGGCTTGATGACCTCCTGAGGTCTCTTCCAACCCTATGGCTACGTCTAGACTACATGGCTCCATTGATGGAGCCATGTAAAATAGTTTACATGTGACTATTGGACATGACGGTTGGACATGATGATCAGCTGATCCGGCACAGCGCAGCATGGTCGACAAAGGAAGCCTTTCACGAGGCATACCGAAGTGGTTGACAAAGGTTTCCTTTGTCGACCGCGCCACGTCTAGACTGCCGCGCTGTGCCAGATCAGCTGATTGTCGGCACAGCGCGGTGGCCATTTTTATTTTAACGAAGCGGGGATTATTTAAATCCCCGCTTCTTTGACTATGACGAATAAACTATTTTACATGGCTCCATCGACGGAGCCATGTAGTCTAGACTTAGCCTATGAGTCTGTGTTAGCATGGTAGGATCAGATAGAGTGGATGGACTTTTCCCACGCAAAAGTGATTGGAAATGCAAAGCTAACCTTGTGTTAATAATACTAGTTTCCATACCTGGGGCTATTTGCTCAGTCTGTGTGCGTATATTAAGAAAACCACTCATCTACAGCAAGAATGAGGCATGGGTAGCTAGTAAATCATGTGCAGCTCTTAGCCTCAGCTTTGCTAATGGAGCCATCCTCTTACATTTAATGCTTGTTTAGTTGCAAATGTGAGCAGCTTCCAAGCCTTCATTTTGAAGGGAAGTCTACTGAAAACAAACTAATGTTACACGGTAACATATCTTTGAGATGTAATTTTTGTATGGTGTACA